CCCCCCAGGCCCCCCACGGCCACCCAAGGAGCCAGGGCCCCCTGACAAGGGCGGCCCTGGCCTGGGCCTGCCCCTGCCCCCTCTCTGAGACCCCCAACAACCCACTTCCTTCCTCCGCCTCTTCAGAATTCGGGACGTATTTATGGCTCCACCTCTCCACTTCCCTCCCCCGTCAGTGGGATGATGGGAGGGGGTCGCTGTGGGGATGAGGAGAGCCCCCTGCCTAGCCCTGTGCCCATCTTCCTCGTCCCACGCCTGTCCCCATCGCCGCTCCCCTCTGTTCATGTCCCCCCCCAGTTTCATTAAAGATTTCATGAAATGTTACCTTCGAACCCCGTGATTTCAGCCCTTTCTTTTCAGAGTCTGATTTGGGAAGGGGTTAGGGAGGGACACACGCAGGAGGCTTGGCCCACGTCTGAGGGTGGTTAACAGGGAGACCAGACTGTGTGGCTCAGGGCCAGTACTGCCCCTCTCTGGGCCTCAGTTTCCTTATCTATAAAGTGGGTGTTGTGAGGATTAAGTGAGACGCAGGCAGGGAAGCACTTAGGACCCTCCCGGGACGCTGTCAGCGGCTGCTGCTGAGGGTGCTGACGGCACATAGGGGCCAGGCTCCTGGTCAGTCTCCCAGCTCAGGCACCCAGGTGCTGCTTGTCTGCCTGGGATGTATCCGCCCCCATTGAGGTGGGGGGATGGAATCCACCCTCCGGAGACGCAGTGAGGGCCACATGGTGCGGCAGGGCAGTGCTGGCCCCGCTCAGTCCGGTGGCCCAGAACCCAGGCGTGGTGAGGAAAGGCGGCAGTGCCCGGGCCGCCGGAGCATGTGGGCTCCAGGGTAGAGCACAGAGCTCCTTTACCACTGCCCGTCCCAGCCCCAGAGGACGTGCCTGAGGCCCCCGCAGGAGCTGGAGGGAGCCAAGGCCCCCGACAGACAGGGCTGTTTAGACAGGGAGCTCTCTGCATCCCGGAGCTTGGCCCCGGCTGTTCATAGGCAACATGGGGATTCTGGAGGCGGCCCTGGGCCTCCCTCGGAGAGCAGTGGCTTTGAAATGAGGCTGGATTCTGCCCCAGCTTGTGTCTCCCACTTTGTGACCTTTACTCTTCTCTAAGTCTCACTGTCTCGGTCTGTAAGTGGGAATGACTGTCACCTTCTCACCAGGTCCATGGAGAGAGGTGTGGAGGTGGTGAGTGTCGGCTGCCCCCACAGTGTCTCGCCCCCACAGTGTCTCGCCCTCACTGTGAGCACCCGAGTTGTGGGTGGCCTGCAGATGCATAAGCTGAGTCTGAAGGAGCAATGCCCAGCTTGGGTCAGGGCTGGCCTGGGGACACCGAATACCACACACAAGTGGCGACAGTGGCCAGAAGTAGTTTATTGGTGGAGGCGAGGGACCTGCACCCACAGGTGGTGGTGCAGACGCGGCTAGTGACCTAGAAATCCATGTCCTCGACCAGGTCCTGCAGATAGGCCTTGTACTGCTCCGACGTGAGGGAGAGGGGCTGGCTGTTGGAAATGTGCAGGTCCACGGTGTTCTCCAGCGAGGAGGCCCCCCCTACCCGTGCCATTTCCAGCAGAGCCCTGAGGCACGTGGGAACAACCTACAGGAGGTGGGGAGAAACATGGTCAGGGGAAGCACCCAACACCATCTACTGTAGAGGGTGGGGCTGAGTGGACTACAACTCCCAACTCCCAGCAGGTCCCACCGTGGCCCAGGATGAATTCCTGGGCTCAGGACTGCTGGGAGCTGTAGTTTTCCCATGTTCACAACCACGGAGGCCAGAGGGGCTCCCAGATGCTAGGGCTGGGCAGCTGGTGTCAGGAGGACTCCTGGGAGCTGTAGTTCTCACAGGCTGCTGGGACTTATAGGAGAAGGCCACGGCCGGGACACCCAGAAGTCTCTGGGAATGAGTGGCGGTTGCAGCCCTAGCTGGCTGGTGTCGCTCAGTTGGTAGGAGCATCATTCCATACACTGAAAGGTTGCAGGTTCAATCTCCATGCGTCAGGGCACATATGGGAGGCAACCAATTGATGTCTCTCTCTCTCTGTGCCCCCTACCCGCCCTCTAAAAATCAATGAAAATAGCCCTAGCTGGTTTGGCTTACTGGATAGCGCGTCAGCCTGGGAACTGAAGGGTCCCAGGTTTGATTCCGGTCAAGGGCATGTACCTTGGTTGCGGGCACATCACCAGTGGGGGGTGTGCAGGAGGCAGCTGATCGATGTTTCTCTCTCATCAATGTTTCTAACTCTCTATCCCTCTCCCTTCCTCTCTGTAAAAAAATCAATAAAATATATTTTTTAAAAAAAGAAGAAAATATCCTCTGGTGAGGGGGGAAAAAATGGTGATGTAGAGATTTGGAAATTTTAATTTCTCCAGGGGTTTCTGGGAATTGTAGTTCCTGGGAGCAACCTATTCTTTTGGAAGACCCGCCCCCTCAGCTCCAGGATCCTAAGGCGCAGGCACCTTGACCATCACTAGCTTCTTGGTCCACGGCTGGTGCTGGGGCCATGGCTCCGCTATGCAGAACCAGAAGGTGTAGCGTGGTGAGCGTCCGCTTCCATTGATGAAGGCAATCAGATCTGGGGGCCCAAGAGCCTAGTCAGGGATGGGAAGACCTCTACCTGCCCCTCCCCCTAAAACCTGAATAATATCCTACCTTCCCCACTAACCTAAAGCCTGGCATACCTCTGCCATCAAAACCAGGGGGCTGCTGAGGTGCGTCAAGTCCCCACAATTCTGGCACAAACATAAAAGTTCCTTTTCCCTCCCACCCATCAGGGTAGGTCTGGATGATCCGCTCCCACCTCCCCCTGAGCATTCAGGATGGGGAAACAGGTCCAGGAGGGGAATCCCCTCCCAAAGATGTTGACAATTACTGCTCTTTCACCCCCTAAGGCCACACTGTCTCTACGTAGCCATTAGCCACCAGGGCTATTTAAATGGTAACTAATTAAAATGCAAATAGTTTAAAACTCACTTCCTCAGATGCTCTCAGCCCATCTAAGTACTCAATAGCAATGTGGCTGGATACTGTACGATACTGGAGAGTGCAAAGAAAGTGCTATTGGCTAGCAAAGTCCTACGGGATCTTTCCTGTGTCTGTCTGTCCACCATAAGCCTATATAATAAAGAGCTAATATGCAAATAGTCATCACGCCCTCACGCCCTCTTGCCCTAGCGCTGGAAATGTTCAGATACTCAACACTGGGGAGAGAGGAATGGGGACCAGCCAGGTCCCGGGTGTCTGCAGCCCAGGTGAAGCCACCTGCCCACAGTCCCTGTGGCTGCGGCCGGCCCGGGAGAAGCTGGCCCAGGTCCCAGGTGCCTACGGCCTGCCAGAGGGAGGGAAGCCTGGGTCCCGGGTGTGGGGCAAAGCGGAGGCGGTTAAGGGCGATCAGGCCAGCAGGGGAGCAGTTAGGGGCGATCAGGCAGGCAGAGGTGGTTAGGGGTGATCAGGCACATAGGCAGGTGAGCGGTTTGGAGCCAGCGGTCCCGAATAGCGAGAGGCGGTTGGACATCCCCCAAGGGGTCCCAGATTGAAGAGGGTACAGGCTGGGCTGAGGGACTCGCCCCCCCTCCCGGCACGAATTTCATGCACCGGGCCTCTAGTTGGGAATAATGATGACAACTATGGCAGCTAGTTCTGAGCACCTTCTGTGCACGGGGCCCCGTGCCGCCTCCCAGCTCCGGGTAGGCAGAAGGAGGGAGAGGGCCCTCAGACTTGCCAGGCTCAGAGCCGTCTAGGCTAAATGGCCAACAGCAGCAGGATCCCGAAAGGTCAGACCCCGGGCTCTTAACCACTGGGGCCCCCTCTCCACTCACCTGCCACAAACGGCCCCAGGTTGAACACGCTTCCTCCCGTCTCTTTGGGGACCTCGCCGTCAGGCCCACGGCCACTGTCGGGGAGAAGCTCCTCGCCCACAGCCCAGTATGTGTGGCAGGAGCCCAGCCTCTGGGCGCAGAGCCGCTGCCCTTCCCTCCGCAGAGCGAGTCCCCCGCCCAGGCCGCTCAGCACACGACTCACATAGTCCCTCGCAGCCCTGTCTGTCAGGAACGCCCCAGGGTCTGGCAGTGTTATCGGCTGCCCGGGGAGTGTCCTGTCCCCTCCATCTGACCCCACCAGCCGCAGGCCCCTCGGGCAGAAGACCGTCTGCTGGAAGACTTGGCGGCCCCGGTAGAAGGCGGTCACCTCGAACTCCCAGTCTGAGCAGTGGCGGCGGCAACATGAAGGGAGAGATGGAGAGCGTGTAAGGGCCCATCGCCCCAGATCCAGCTCCTCCCAGCCCATAGGTGGCACTCACCGTCCTGGGGCATCAACAGCTGCTTCAGTGGGTTTTCAGGGGGCGTTGGGTTTGGGTAGGGAGCAGGCATGTCTAAGTTGGGGCTCAGCAAGAGCTGAGGGGGGTGTTCAGGGGCCACAGCCAGGCTCGAGGCCCCCTCATCTGGAACTGGGCCCAAGGCCATGTCATTCAGTAACTCCTCCAGAATGTCCTCCTAGAGAGAGAGAGAGAGAGAAGGGTCCAGGCATTGCCACAGCATTTTCTGAAGAATTCCCATGGGTCAGGCCTTGTGTTCAGCAATATGGGGACCCAGAGAGGAGACAGTCCTGAGCCTTGCTCTCTAGGGCAGTGATGGTGAACCTATGACATGCGTGTCAGAGGTGACACGTGAACTCATTTTTTGGGTGGATTTTTCTTTGTTAAATGGCATTTAAATATATAAAATAAATATCAAAAATATAAGTCTTTGTTTTACTATGGTTGCAAATATCAAAAAAATTTTCTATATGTGACACGGCACCAAGAGTTAAGTTAGGGTTTTTCAAAATGCTGACACGCCAAGCTCAGAAGGTTTGCCATCACCGCTCTAGGGGTTTCCGATCCAGGGAGAGACCGCCTGGGCACAGAGCGCACAATGCTCTGATGTATGCTGAGGGCTAAGAGGTCCGGGAGAGCAGCTAATTCAGCCCAAGGATCTGGCTGCACGCAGGCAAGAGCTGGGCAGAGACATCTGGGGAGAATGCCCCAGGGGATTTTTCCTGGCACAGACATCAGCAAGATCAAGGGCAGGGAGTTTCTGGTTCCCAAGAGGCTGGAAAGCGAGAAAAGCAATGGAGGTGTCTTAGGGCCTCGAATGCCTGGTGAAAACGGAACTTTCTCCTGAGCGTGGTGGGACGCCACGGAGGGCTGTGAGCAGGAGAGGGGGAGGGTCAGCTCAGGGTCAGGGGAGGGAGAGAAGGGAGGCCAGGGAGGAGGCGGACAATGGTCCGTGGGGAGAATGAGGCCTGAACAGGTCCCCAGGGGCGCAGAGGCGATGGGACAGGGACTGAGGGGACAGGAGGGCTGGGCGCAGGCATACCTGGGTGTCAGAGGTACTGAATCTGCCATCGGTGTCCGAAGTCTCCAGCTCAGGGAAGTCCCCAACTGCCGGCGAGAGAGGTGGTGAGCGGAAAAGGGGTGCTAGGGACTCTTACGATCCCATTCCTCCATGAACACCCCCGCTTCCAGCCCACCTGAGTTCACAAACTCGTAGATCTTGTGCGGGTCGTGGGGGTCCTTGCTCCGGTCCTCAGCTAAACGCAACACCTCCTTCCTGTTCAGGGCAGACCTGAAATTCCTCTTCCACGTTGGCAAGTCAGGCCTGTCTCTCCCAGGAGTGTAGGCACCGCTGGCCTCTGCCCAGGCCTGGGGACCAATGGGACCAGGATAGAGGAGCGGATGGTTCCGACCCCACCCCAGGGGTCATAACCCTGCCCCCTCTCATCCTAGCACCCACCCTGTTAAGGTTCTATCCCCAAATTCTCAGATTCTCGGTGCCCTGAGTCCCCCTGCCTCCACCTTTCAAAATCCTTTGCTTTCTAAGCCAACCTTCCAGGCCCTACTAGGTGTCTAACTCTGCAACCAACCTGCCCTAGGGCAGCCTCTGTAATGGCCCCGCCCCCTCCCACTCTAACTGGGTTTACCCACTGGTGTAGTATTCTAAGTTGGTGGTAAGTACCCTCAGCTTCAGCCCAGTCTGGTCTCATGTAAGACCCGCCCCCAGAATTCTACATCCAAGATCCCATCCCTGGTGAGCCCTGAACTCCCAGGATGCATTTCCTCCATGGTCTAACCTGCTTTCCTAGTTCTATTCCTGGAGCCCGGGCTCTCCAGCTATCCCACACCTATCCACTATCCTAAGCCCTCCCCATCCCCCTGTAACTCCACTCCTCGGAGTCCACCCCACCCTAGGGCACCCGCACCTTCGGGTTTCCTGAGTCTCAGCTCCCACACACCTGGAAGATGCCGAAGTCCTCCTGCTGGGCATCCTGCCGCAAACCGTGTTTCCAGGGGATGCGGAAGCGCCGGCGGCTCTGGTCCAGCCAAGCCACGCCCTCCAGTTGCCCCTCGTCCAGCTGAGACACCAGCCAAGGCAGGATCCTCGGCTTTTGGGATCCCATGTCGGGCCTGCTAACATTGGGCAGGTCATGGGCGCAGGCGGCCTCTCAGGCCCACCCTGGACCATCCTCTCACAGGACACGGCGCAGGTCCCTCGCCTGTATTTTCTTGGGGGAACAAACAGACCTCACCTCCTCCAATCCTCCAATTTAGCGAGGACTCCCTCCCAAATCCATTGTAGGGCCCCCTCGTTCCCCCAGCTTCTGTGTAGACCCCACTGCCCCATCAATTCCGCCAGCAGAGACCCTTCCCTATTCCACTGCAAACCCCGCCCGCCCTCCCCATCACCCAAGGCGGGTACCCCCACTTCCAAGGTAGAACCTAATAGCAGACGCTACTCTCCTGTGGACTTCTACCTCCCGCACTCACCCCAGTGTGGACCCCTCCCACGGTTCCCCACAGACGATCCCCTCCCCCGGTTCCACCGCAGACCTCCCTCCACAGTCCCCCGCAGAGAGCCTCCCTCGACCAGGGCGCGCTCCCCTCTGTCTAGAGGGTGCTGCCTCCCCGCTACTCTTTCTGTGTTTATTTTTCTGCACCTGCCACTGCTTCACTTCTCCCCTTCCTTGCTTCACTTTCTCCAGGGTACACAGCCCCCCTCCAGGTCATGTCAGACTCATCCTTTCGCCCGTTCCTCACTCCGGGCTTCTACCAGCTCCCCGGCTCTTCCGCGTTACCCACCTAGCGGGACGGGGCGGGGCGCGCAGGGTGCTGGGGCCACCCGTGGCTTTGGGTCCCATAGCGCGCGAACACGGAGCTGCACCCCACCCCCACCCCTTACCGTCAGCTGAGCTTTAGAGCGGTGGAGCTTTGTTTGCTGCAGATTTCTTGAAATGAAAACGACTTTCTTGTCATTTGGGCAACAAACCACAGAGAGGTGGCACCCGCAGCCCGGACATTGCTCCTCCCCGTGCCCCTTTTTTGGCTTTCCGGCCACCGGCATGCTGGGAACGTCGCATGCAAATTAGGCGGGCACCGGCGCCCCGCCCCCTCTGCGTTGGGCCGTCGCCAGCCTGGCCCAGTGCGCAGGCGCGGGAAAGTTGAACTCCTAGAAGTTTAACAAGTTCAGTGAAGGAGGTGGCGGGGGCGGCGGGGGCCGCCCCGGGCGCG